TACCGTACACACAAATAAAAGGATTCCCCATATTTCCCCATAGTTTCTGGGCTTCTGTCCTCCCCCCCCCACTGCCCATATTTTCCTACATTTTCCGGGGAATCGACGATTCATGGTGTCTGTGCGTTTCTGCTCCTCCTGAGTCTCGCCGGATTTCGGACCAGGGCAAAACCAGAAGCTGACCTCCCGGGAGCTGCCTCCGAAGAGACTGGCCCCGGGAGAGGGCTCCCAGAGCTCCGAAGGGCTCGCCGCTGCTCTGGGAGGGAAGCTGGATGGGCCACATAAAACAGGGCTAGGATAAGGATAAATCGCCCCAGAGCGTTCCGGAGCGCTCTCAGAGCGTTCCGGAACGCTCTGGAGCGGCCGCGGCGCCCAATACATCCTCCAAACCCGCCGATTCTCAGAGATTTCGAATTATCCCGATCCGACTTTGTCCCGATCTACGCGTCGTTTGACCACGCGCCCTGGGGGGGGAGGGAAAACGTTGGGCGGGCCTCCGCAGAGGGCTCGCGAGGCCTCCGGCGCTTCGAGAGGCCCTCTGAGCCTGCTCCGAAGCCACGGGTGGGCGCCCGGAGGGCTTCAGAGAGGAGCCCCGCCGCCTCCTGCGAAGGCCGGCCCCCCCTCGATCGCCCCCCTCTGTGCGCAGCCAGGAAAAGGAGGAGGAGGAGGAGGAGGAGGAGGAGGAGGAGGAGGACCCTGGGGGAAGGGGGAGAGGGGGGGGAGGAGGAAGGGGAGGAGGACTGAGGACTGCGCGGCTTGGAGGACATAGTTCAGGCCCCCAGGGGATCGCTGACAAAAAAAAATGCCAGCTGTATCCTAGCAGAGGCAGCACCTGCCGGCCCCACACGCCGCTGCCCCCGCCCTCCCGCGGCGAGGGTGCCCTGGGGGGGCTGGACGGGCACGTTTGACGAACGAACCTGGGGCCAATAACCACCAGGATTTACTCAGAGAATGCGTGTACTCCAGATTTCGTGATAAAAGGGAGGGGGTCTGGACCCTCCAAGACAAGCCATTTCAGACCTCCCCCGTGGGAGAACCCTCCAAAACATCGTCCCCAGACCCCCCCAGGCACTCCAAGATAGCCTGGAAGAGACCCCCCCCGAAATGAGACCCCCTCCCTTTATTACGAAATCTGGAGTATGCTGTCAGCGACTGCCACAGATCGCGGCAGTGAACTGCGCCCACCGACGCTTTGGAGAAAGCTGGCCACACTTTGAACACCCAACCGCCTTCCCTATTTTGTCATACTAGAACGATAAGGGAATGTGACAACGGTCAGCAGGTTTCGATGTGCGCTCATTACGGTCAGTCACCGTCTCTGGCCAGAGCGTCACGACTCTTGTCCGCACAACTGCCTCGACCATGACGTGGCTTGGGATATGTTGTCTTCTTTCCCACGCTTGGTACACACCAACTTGGGATGATGTTGGTTGTCTTGGCCTCTGAGCGGGGCCAAGATGTGGTAACCGCGATCTGCCGCCTCCATGTTGCGAAGCAGCCGCAGCTGTTGCATGAGAAGATCACGCTCTCGAAGACGTTGTTGGCCACGTTCTTCTCGTTCGCCCCATTGCACAGATGCTCTGACGGCCTTGACTGCTGTCTGCCTCTGTGGGCGCCTCGCGGCACCACCTCCCCGCGCCGTCCGGCGGAGCCGCGGCCGCACCAGAGGAGAGTCAAAACCAACCGGGCCGCATCTCCGCCGCCAGCTATCGAAGCACGGCCACCACCATTTTCTGCTCGCACACAGGTGGACACGTGACTTTGGATGCCAAATCACGTGTGCATCATACATTCGACGGGGGGGCGTGGGGGGGGGGGGGCGTCAAGAAGTGTTGGCAGGCGCCCCAGGGCGCGTGGGTCACAGCACGCGAGCGAGCCTCACCGCACCCTTCCCAGGTAGGCGAGCCGCACTCGATGCAGCTTGGGTGCTCGTGCGAATTACTACCACTAGGCTCGTCTGGCTATAGGGCTATAGGGCTAAGGGCGTTAGGGCTAAAGGGCTACAGGGCTATAGGGTTATAGGGCTATAGAGCTATAGGGCTCTCGGGGGATAGGGCTGTAAGGCTACAAGGCTACATGGCTATAGGGCTATAGGGATATTGTGCTATAGGGCTGTAGGGCTATTGCGCTATGGGGCTAAGGGCTAGAAGGCTATAGGGCTATTGGGCTGTAGGGCTATGGGATCATAGGGCTGTAGGGCTACAGGACCACTCCTCCTCCTCGCCCTCCTCCTATTCTTCCTCCCCCCCGAGTCAACTCCCGAGTGAATGTCCGATGAACCCCGCTTGGCGCCCTGGCCGTTTGCAGCAAGATGGCACTCGAGCAAGCTACACTGCAAAACAACAAGGACACCAGGCACACAACAGACGGGTCTCACTTGGCGCGGCGCGAGCAGATTGGAGACATTGGCACTGTGGTTACCCCTCCCCCCTCCCCACCGAGCCCATGAGGTGTCAACATGGCCCTCTGGGGCCTAGGCCTAGGCCAACCTGGGAAACCCAGGAAGGGCGAGGCCTCGTTCTGATCCACGTAGACCCCACTCCGCTGGGCCTCCCATGTGCCCACGAAATCGGCAAACATTGCGCACTTGGCAGCACACGGGGAGGGCGAGGTTTCACTTTGATCCACGTAGACCACCCCTGCGCTAGACCTCCAAGGACCCACGAAAGTCGCGACAGTTGTGCAGCTGGCAGCACCCAGGAGTTCACGAGAGTGGTGCGGCTTGCGCCGCTGGCAGCACCCAGAGGAAGCGGGGTCTCATTTGGGTCGGCATATGACGTCAGCCCTCGCGGCAGCAGCCTCCTCACGCTGACAGTCACCCCTCCTCCTGCCCAACGCCCTCCTCCCACCCCCTGTCTTTTGCAACCCATATCCGTCTTCCGTTCCCACCTCATGACCGCCGAACCTCTCCCGATTCCCCACCAAATCTTCCTCGTTCCTCCAATAATCATCAACATCCTGCCCCTCCTCCGCTAATCATCAACATCCTCCCCTTCCTCCGCGTCCTCCTCCTCCTCCACCCTCGGCTATATCGTCCCGCCCAGGCGATCTCCAAAAAAGACTTGATCATGGTGAACGCGGCCTCGGGCTTGTACTCGGGGACCATGTGCCCAGAGCCCCTTATGGTGACAAAGTCCAAGTTTCCAGCATATCTGGGGGCGCACTTCTTACCGCGGACGGCACGCACAGGTCAGGGCAGGGAAAAGAGGGCAACCATGTCGAAGACCGCAGAAGACCCAACAAATCACGAAGAAACGCACATATGCTCGCGATCAGTGATAGCCTGGTACAAACGCGCAGGCTGCCGTGGGATAGACCCCGCTGGCACGGCCCGATAATCCAGTCGGCACTCGCCACCTCTTCCGTGTATAATCTCCTCCGTGTACACACACCGTGTTCCTCCGCAGGCGAAGAGACGTCACTGTCGTGAAAGTAACCAGAAACGTGCGCGATCAAGCTGGTCGCCCTCAGGGCTGTGGATGCGGCTAGCAAGAGGCCCGCCAGCGTGCAAGACGACTGCAAACGCACACACACACACACAAACAAACAAACACACGCACGCACACACACACACACTTTACGTCGGCGGCTAGGCAGAGTCACTGCGCTCGCGAATGGGACACATGTAAGGCATACAGTTGCTAACAAAGCCGCGGTGCACTTGAGCAGGAGGGGGAAGGCCCGGCGCGGGCGGGAGGGAGACGGAGGCTGGGCCCGCTCAGTCGACTACACGCAAGAGCGACCCTGGGTAAGAGCGACCTTTGGCAATTTGGTGCGCGGCTTTTTGGGGACCGCGGGGGGACCAAACACAAGCGCGCAAAACGCTACTATCGCATCGCGTTTGGCGACCGGGGAACCCCTTTGGCCCGCACCAAAGGTCACTCCGGCGAAAGGTCACTCTTACGTCTAGTCGACTCAGGGCGGGGCCAGGCCGCGGCTGGGCAGCGTCGGGGCGTCGGGGCGGCAGCCGCGGGGCAGCCGGGGCGGGCAGCAACACACACACACACACACATGCATTGGCGGTCGCGGCCTCGCGCGCAACGAGGGGGCGGAGAAGGTCGAGCGAGCAGTGGGCCGACCGCGCCATAGGCCAACCGGGCGTGGTTGGCGGATGGGAACATGTGACAACGCCCGGGGGCGGGGACGAGCAGTACAGCGACGCGGACGAAGTACAAGGCAGGAGGAGGGCCGCAGAGGCGCGAGCGACGCGCAGAACGGGTGGAAGGGCACAAACGCCACCCGAGGCCCACCGTGAGGTAAAGAAGTTCTGGATCCGGTTGTCTCCTTGTCATTGCACCCCCCCCCTCATTTCCGAGAACAGAGACCTATGGAGTATGCGGCCTGTTGAACCCTTCCTTCACTCGTCCTTGCTTTCATCATACATCTCTTCTCTGCTCTTTTCCGTTCACAGTGTGTGTGGTGTGTGTGTGTGTGCGTGTTGGTGTTTGTGTTGGTGTGTGTTGGTGTGTGTGTGTTGGTGTGTGTGTGTGTTGGTGTTTATGTGTGTGTGTTGGTGTGTGTTTTGGTGTGTACGTGTTGGTGTTGTATGTGTGTTAGTGTGTGTGTGCGTGTGTGTGTGTGTTTTGGTGTGTGTGTTCGTGTGTGTGTGTGTTGTATGTGTGTTGGTGTGTCTGTTGGGTGCGTTGGTTTGTGTATGGGTTGGTGTGTTTTGGTGTGTGTGTGTGTTGGTGTGTGTGTGCGTGTGGGTGTGTGTGTGTGTTGGTGTGTGTTACTGTGTGTGTTGGTTGGTATGTGTTGGTATATGGTATGTGTGTTGGCGTGTGTGTGTGTTGGTGTGTGTGTGCTGGTATGTCTTGGTGTGTGGGTTGGTGCGTTTGTGCTGGTGTGTGCTGGTGTGCTGGTGCGTGTGTTTGTTTGTGTGTGTTGGTGTGTTGGTGTATGGTTGTTTTTGTGTGCGTGTGTGTGGGGGGGTCTTCTCCCTCCCCGGGGGAAAAGAAAAAAAACGCAGTACGACCATATGTTTCGTTTTTTGACGGGGGAATAAATCTCGCCCACACACGACCACACACACACACACGCACACACGCACACACGCACACCTTCACACACAAACACACACACACACACACACACGCACGCAAACGCACACGCACACGCAGACGCACACGCACACCACCTCCTCTCCCTACTCCCCCCCACCCCCTGGGGGACGTTTCCTCTGCCTCTCTTTGTTTATGAACAGCAGAAAAAAACGATGACGTCCACTGATTGCTTGTGGGGGGAAGAAAGAAAAATCACGCCCCCACGCAGACAGACACACACACACACACATTCTCTCTTTCTCTCTCTCTCTCTCTCTCACGCGCACGACGCACGCGCACGCACGCACGCACGCACGCACGCACACACCACCACCTCCTCTCCCTGCCGCCGCTTGCCTTGCCTTGCCTGCCGCCGCTTGCCTTGCCTGCATGCTTTTCCACTAGTGCTCGTTTTGCGTCTCTGGTGGCTCGTGGCCATATCAGGGACATCAGAGCGACTGGAGGAGATGGGTTTGTGTGTGTGGGAGGTGGGACGGGCTCGGGGGAGGGAGAAACGGAGCGGCTGGCTGCGGCGGACGCTGACCGTGCGGAGGGCCGTGCGGATCCGCCCAGCGAGCGACGAGCTTCTAGGCCACCTCAGAAGAAGCGTGGACGGCCCAGTAGGGGTCAGCAGTCTGGGATTTGAGGCTGGCGCCTGCAGGCACCCCTGGTGGACATCCACCTCTCGGGGCTTGCCTTCGGAGCCAGCGGGGGCGTCTCCCCCCAGCAGGAGCCCCGCTCACAACTTTATGGTTGATGCGGCCACATGGCCGTCGCAGGGATGAGAGTTCTTTTCCAGCAGTCCTGTTGCTGATCAGTGTTTGTGGATTCAGAGATCGTCCCCAGCGTTCAGTTCAGTTCAGTTCCTGCCCCAAACTCCCTCCACCCGGCCCCCCCCCCCTCCCTCCACCATCCCCCCCTCCTCCTCCTCCTCCCTCCTCCCCCTCCGCGCTCTATCACCCCCTTTCCCCTGTCCTTTCCTTCAGGGTTTCACGTTATTACCACAGGGACCCTTTCTGAGGGGATCCTTGCTAAAGACATCACCATCAAGCATTATGCACTGAACGTGTCCTTACTAAGGACTCCTTGCCAAAAAAGCATCCTTACTGACGAATGCTTGACCAAAACATCTTCGCCATGGGCTCTTCACGATAAAGGTGTCCTTCCTGATGTTACCTTTGACCAAGCACCCTTACGAATGAATGTGTGCGTATCTTGTCTCTACCAAATGCTTACGAAAAAAGCCCCGTGCTACAACCATCCGTGCTAAAGATGCCCAGCAATGGCCCCAGCGGAAGCTTTCGCATGACGTCCCACAGGGGTTTCGTTGGCTGGGCCTCGCGTGAGTGCGAAAGGGGGAGGGGGTGGGAGAGAGAAAGGGAGAGAGAGAGAGAGAGGGAGAGAACAACCACTTCCTCCTGTCACTTCCCCTCTTTGCGTTGTGGTATGTGTGGGAAAGCAACCTGGCCGCCTCACATTGCTTAGTCGTGTCCTGGGGCCCCTTACTAAAAGACGCCGACGCCGGGCTCCGACTGAAGGGAGCAGCAAGGATACCTTACTACAGGGGCATGTAACGTGGGAATCCTTACACCTATCCCCGCGGAAGGTGGCATGACTAAAAACAAACTTAACACTCGCAACACGAACTACCTTACTAAAGGCAGCCGTACCCAATAACCCGCACCACAAACCACGCATACTGGTTCCTCACTAAAGAGGTCATTACCGAGGGGACCAATACTACAGGCACCATCATTAAGGACCCCATGAGTAAAAAAATCCTCTGCTATGGGGTTCGTGGTAAAGGTGCCAATTCAAACGAATGATTCACGCATGCGTCCACGCGATGGGTTCCAAACTAAAACTAAATATAATCGTCCTAACGACACCTTGGTAAGGAAAAAAACATGGCTAGTGAACGCGTGTTCAAACGGAAGGCAACCGTATTAAGGAACCCCTGATAAGACGGATGGCACTAAGGAGTCGTTACCGCAGGGACCCTTACTGGGGGCGCCTGCACGAAAAAAACATCCGCACAAAGGGCGCCGCACTGTACGCATCCCTACTACAAGCCCCAAGTAACCCGTGACAACGGACGCACAAAGAAGCATGAGCAATGAATCCGTATTGCAGGGATCCTTTCAGAAAGGATCCGGACCAGAGGCCCTCACTGGAAGGAATGGTTCCTGCGGGCCCTTGTTACCCGCATCCGTATTGAGGGGTTCTAGCCATGGCCCCAACGGGAGCATTCGTGGGGCGTCCCATCGGGGTGTCATTGGCCGGGCGTTGCGCGAATGCGCAACGGGAAGAAAGGAGAGGGAGAGAGACAGAAAGAGAGAGCCAGAGAGCAAGAAAGAGAGAGAAAGAGAAAACAAACAAACAAACAAAAAACGAGAGGGAGGGAGAAAGGCAAACAGAGAGAGAGAGAGGGAGAAACTACAGTTCCTCCTGTCACGCCCCCCCTCCGCGTTGTGGGATGTGTGAGCAAGCAACTAGGCCTCCCACCCACGTCCTCTTGCCGAACATCCTTATGCGCCCTGTTTCGCTAGCACCACGAAGCGAAACCACCCTTTCGGCTTAGGGGCTGCCCTGCAGTGCGAGCACACCTACACTACATGTTTGTCCACGTCGAAAACAATCGCGAAGACTGCCGCAACTCCCAAACGTTCGCCCTTCAGGATGGCCTCGTAGATCTGATCACGACCGACGTGCGGGACCACTGGCCCATCCCTCTGTTTTTGTTGTGAAGTCCGCTTCCATGGCAAGCTCGATGGTGGTGCTCTGTTGCGTCGCGACTCCCTCGTCTGTTTGCCCTCGGATTTCAGGCTGGAGGCACCCGGCCTGACCCAATACTCCGCGTCGCCTTGCTGCTTTTCCCCGTGGGGCCTGAAGCACATTTAGTGGCACGGGCGCGCGGGGTCCAGCATCCTGTGGACGAACGTCGGCGGGAGCTCGCCGCTAATGGCCTTGGCAACCTGCCCATGTGCGACGATCGAGCTGCGTGGCTGACAACCCTCGCCTCGTCGTCTGGCTCCAGGCCCGGCAAAAAAGGGGGACCCCTGCTCGCACGACGGCCCGGCTCGCGATCCCGAGAGGTCGTGTGGAGCGCTGCCCATCGCCCTCGCCCCCCTTCGGCGGCCTTCCGTCTCGGTCCTCCTCCTCCCCCTCCTCCTCCCCCTCCTCCTCCCCCTCCTCCTCGTCCTCCTCCTCCACCTCCTCCTCCTCCTCCTCCTCCTCGTTTCCTCCTCCTCGTCCTCCTCCTCCTCGTCTCCTCCTCCTCGTCCCCATGTGCGCTCTTCCTGCGCGCTGGCACGGCGGTTGGCGCCAGACAGGCCATCTCCTCGCATCCGTCGCGGAGCGGCGTCGGACGGTCGCAGGCCCAAGAGCCAGCTTCAGCGCCCACCCGTCACTCTGAAACGGCCGAGTGTGGGAGCCCAAATGGCCACAGACGTCGGCGAGGAATAGATACGCTTGCGACTTGACACGCGGAGGTTAGGGGCAGGATGCCAGATGCTGCGCGCGAACCCCCTCCCCCCCACCTCCCCTCCGATATTCCAAAACTCCGTCCTCCCCCCTTTTCCTCCTACCCCTCCTCCTCCACCTCCTCCTCCTCCTCCTCCTCCTGTCCTCCTCCTCCTGTCCTCCTCCTCCTCCTGAGTACCGTTTAACCGATCCCCATCCCCAGCGGCGTGGCCTGGGCCCCACTGGCCGATTTACCCCCCTAGATGGGGATATAGGTCGTTCTCTTCGGGTTTCTAGGGGTCTGGGGTGGTAATTTGGTGGGGGTCTTGAAGGCGTTGAAGATGGGGATGGGGATAGGATAAACGATACCGACTCCTCCTCCTCCTCCTCCTCCTCCTCCTCCTCCTCCTCCTCCTCCTCCTCCTCCTCCTCCTCCTCCTCCTCCTCCCCTCCTTGAAAGAGACAGAGAGAGACAGAGAGAGAAAGAGAGAGAAAGAGAGAGGAAGCGCGTCTTCACGACGCCGCCAAGGCCCGCCTCCTCACTCCCCATCCCCCCCCCCCGCCCTCCCCTCGACCCGCCCAGCAGCCCGCGGCCCGCGCGGCCGCGGCGCCGCCTGGTCACATAGCCTCCCACCTTGAGGCCGGCCTTGGCGTCCCACCCGTCACGCGTCCAGGGTCGCCAGCCCTCCTGACGCCGTCGGCGACACCGTCTTCCCGGAGGGCTTCGAGACAACGACGCCGACGACGCCGCCGCCGCCGGCGATGACGATGATGATGACAATGATGATGATGATGATGATGATGATGATGATGATGATGATGATGCTGATGATGAAGATGATGACGACAACGACGACGATGATGATGATGAGGAGGAGGATGAGGATGAGGATGAGGATGAGGATGAGGATGAGGATGAGGATGAGGATAAGGCTGAGGATGAGGATGAGGATGAGGATAAGGATGATGACGATGATGATGATGATGATGATGATGAGCAGGAGGAGGAGGAGTATGATGAAGCTGATGATGATGAGGATGATGAGGATGATGAGGATAACAATGTTGATGATGATGATGGTGATGGTGATTGCGATGATGATGCTGATGGTTCTTGTCATTGTGATGGTGATGATGGTGATGCTGATGATGAAAGTGATGATGATGATGATGATGGTGATGCTGATGATGAAAGTGATGATGATGATGCTGATGATGATGATGGTGATGGTGATGATGACGATGATTATGGTGATGATGATGGTGATGATGATGATCATGATGATGGTGATCATGATGGTCATGATCATGGTGGTGGTGATTATGATGATGATGAGGATGAATGAAGATAATTATACGGTGACGATAACGATGGCGATGGCAATGACGCTGACGATGCCGATGACGACGATGCATATGGTGACGATGATTGTGGTGAAAATTATCCGGATAATGATGACGATGACAATGCCCGTGATGACGACGACGACAATGATGATGATGACGATGACTATGACGCTGACGATGGCGGAGATGATGGTGACGATGATGAGGATGACGGTAATTGCGGTGGGGTGATGGTGATGATGCTGAAGGTGGGGATGATGTTGATGTTGATGACGATAACGATGATGCTGATGATGCTGATAGTGGTGATAGTGGTGATGATGATGGTGATGATGACGTTGCTGATGATGATGTTTGCCTGTGGGGACTTCCAGCTGCAGCATCTGGCCTGGAGCGACAGGCGCAGGAAAAAGGCGCCAGCTGGTGAAGCGAAACGCAGCTGGCGCCAAGCCCAGGGAGCGCGCTGGGCCCCACAGAACCAAGCCGCCCCGAAGTCCACAGGCCGAACGGCGAGGCATCACCATGCGGGCTAAACAAGACGTCTGGCATCGAGAGCAGCCATGGCAGGATGACCTTGGCGGTGGCAGCGCAGCTGACGCCGCCTCCTCCTCCTCCTCCTCCTCTTCCTCCTCCTCCTCCTCGTCCTCCTCCTCCTCCTCCTCCTCCTCCTCCTCCTCCTCCAAGACATTCTCTCGACGAGGCCAAACACGGGCAGCTGGTAAAGACCCACGCCAGGTAGGGCCCACCCTGCAAGCGGGGACTCCGAAGCACCGCCTCGCCTCGGCGAGCGCCGTTCTAGGGGGGGGGTGTGCGGCGGCGCCTTCGCCAGATGCTCTCCAAGAGCCAGCAATGATGAAGGGCACCTGGGACACACAAATATATACACAAATAGAAGAATTCCCCATAGTTTCCCATATGCTCTGGGCTTTTGCCTCCCCCCCCCCCCACCTCCCCTAGGTTCCCACATTTTCCTGGGAGTCGACGATGAATTGTGCCTGTGTGTGTTTTCCCCTTCCTGAGCTCCGTCGGAGCCACCTTGGAAGGGGGCCAAGGCGGCTTGAAACAAAGCGGGCCGGAAGCAGCGCCAGGCTGCCAGAAAAGAAGGCAGGGGCAGGCAAGGCGTCAGGATAGCCCGGGGCACCGCCTCGCCTGGGGGGCGAGCGCTGCTCTGGGTGGAAAGCGCCGTCACCAGTTGATGGTGATGATGGTGATGGTGATGGTGATGATGGTGATGGTGATGGTGATGGTGATGGTGATGATGATGATGATTATGATGATGATGGTTATAGTGGTGGTAATGGTGATGGTGATGATGATGGTGATGGTGGTGGTGGTGATGACCGTGATGATGATGATGATGATGATGATACGGTGACGATGGCGACGACAATGACGATGACAATGACGGTTACGATAGCGACGATAATGATAATCTGGATAATGATGACTATGGCAATGCCCGTGCTGACGACAACGATGATGATGTGACGGTGTCATGATGATGGTGGTGGTTGGGATGATGATGATGGTGATGATGAGGATGATGATAATGATGGTGGTGTTTATGATGACGATGATCATGATCATGAAGATGAAGATGGTGATGATGATGATGGCGATGATAATGTTAGGTCGTGCAGAGGGAGGCAAACTGTGGAAAACAATGTGTTATTCAATGTATGGAACAAGTGTGAGAAAAGTGTGCAATCACGAAGCGGCCGAAGTATGAGTGTGAAAACGCAAAAAGATCAATGTGTGAAATTAGATGCGCCCAAAGAGAGAAGGGTGACTTCGGCGATTCTTCAAAGTCCAAGTGTGACTTCAACGAAAATCCGAAGTACAAGTGTGACTTCAGCGAACAGCCGAGGTACAATCTCGCAGTAATGTTCACGTTCTCAGCGGCGGCATTTTCCCGCCATTGCGCGAAGGGCGCGCGCTGAAAGCACTCAGCGCCCATGGTGTCCAACGCGCACCTTTCCTGACTCGCAAATTCACGTGTTGGCGCGCGCGACGCCCCCGGGCAAACATGAAGGGGCCGCGTCGCAATCCGTCGGGTTGCGCGCCCCCGCATCTATCGAAGCCGATTTCTCCGCGCCCGCCCGCCTTTGCCCTGCGATTGCCTTGCTCGTGAAACGCGCGAGTGCAGCGGTCCAGTGTTCAGGGCCAGAAAAGCCCCATGCCGAACAATTCGCTCCACCGCGCCCCCGATGCACCCCTGAAGAGGGCGAATCCGAGGCCGGCGAATCAACCAAACTTCCTCCGCGCGGGCGCGCGGAAGGAGGCCGCCCAGAAGTCGTCAACGACGCAGCCCCGATCTTGGAAACCAGCCGCCATGGCAACGAACGGGGTGGAAACGCGCGAGGCGAAATCAGCGCGCATACATGCGCGTGGCCGCCTCTTGGTCTTCGGCGCGTCTCCACGCCGGGGCACAGGGCGAGCGCGCCCCCGACGCGGCGGGAGGGGCGCTCGAGCCAAAAAGGCAACGGAAAAGGCGCCGCGGGGGGGAAAAAGGGCGGGGGCGGAGAAGAAGAGAAAGAAAAACACCTTGGGAGGATGGGGGGAGGGAAAAAAGGGAGCGGAGGAGAGACAGAAGGGCGGGACGAGAGAACGCGAGCGCCAGGACAAGGGAGGAGAGCCCGGGCGGGCAGACGACGAGCACCATGGACCAACAACCTGCTGGAAACAGACACACGGGACAAATGCGCCCAGTGGAGGGATGAAGGTAAGTTGAATGCGAAAGCATAACGCATAACTAAAGGACCCGAGTGCGCGGGTGTGTCGGGGGCGGGGGGCAAGCCGCGCGCTGCGTGACCTGCTCTTGCCGCGGCGAACTCGGCGCAGGAATCGCGCTCGGCGGTCTACGTCATGCCCTCCTCAGGACTCAGCGCGCGAAGCGCGCTGAACGGTTTGGGCGGTTTACAGCTCGGCGCGCGAAGCGCGCAAGACAATTTACAACGTTGACAGCTCGGCGCGCGAAGCGCGCAAAACGGTTCACAATATCTGCGCCTCGACGAAGCGCCCGAGGGCGATGGACACTCACCGCTGCATTTGCGTCGTCGCCCAGCCCGCCAGAGCGGCCCCGCCGAGTGCGCGGGCGCGCTGGGGGCCGGGGGGGGCAAGCCGCGCGCTGCGCGACCTGCTCTTGCCGCGGCAAACTCGGCGCAGGAATCGCGCTCGGCGGTCTACGCCATGCCCGACTCAGCGCGCTGAACGGTTTGGGCGGTTTACAGCTCGGCACGCGAAGCGCGCAGGACAATTTACAACGTCGACAGCTCGGCGCGCGAAGCGCGCAAAACGGTTTACAATATCTACACCTCGAAGAAGCGCCCGAGGGCGATGGACACTCACCCCTGCATTTGCGTCGTCGCCCAGCCAGGCCGGAGCGGCCCCGCCGAGCGCGCGGGCGTCGGGGGCGGGGGGGGAGCCGCGCGCTGCGCGCCCTGTTCTTGCCGCGGTAAACTCGGCGCAGGAATCGCGCTCGGCGGTCTACGCCATGCCCGACTCAGCGCGCGAAGCGAGCTGAACGGTTTGCGGGATTTACAATGCGCCGCGCAAAGCACTGGGCGGTTAACGACGTTCGCAGGTCGGCGCGCGAAGCGCGCTGAACGGTTTGCAGCGCGCGCAGCTCGGCGCGCGGAGCGCGGGGAGCGCGCGGAACTGTTCACATTATCTCCACCCCCGCGCGCGGGCCCACGGGCAGCGAACGACAAACCTCTGCTGCCGGGGCGTCGCGGGGCTGGCCGGGGGGGGGCGAGCGGGCGAGGCCCAGCGTTTGCGATGGGGGGGCATCGAATGCGCGGGCCCCGGGAGGAGCTCCTGGAGGCGCCCCTCGAGGAGCCTCTGGAGGAGCCTCTGGAGCATTCGGCCGCCGTCGGTTCCCCCCGGACGCGGCCCCAGGCTGGCGCCAGCGGGGCAGGGGGAGGGGCCTCCCGGCCGCCCGCCAAACAACGCCTGGAGCGCGCGAGCGTCGCCAGGACGGGAAGCCGAGCCCCGGCCCGGGGGCCCTCGCGGGAGGCCCAGCCTGCCCGAGTCGCCAGGACGGGGCGCCCCTCGACCCTGCGCCCGCGGCGAAGAACCGCGCAATGGGCACTGGGAACTGCCGGCACGGGGCGGTGCCCGCGCCTGCGCGTCGGCCTACGCATGGCCCCGTCGCCGGGCGTGCGCATGCACGGCGAGGGCCCGCGCCCCAGAGTCTTGACGCCCGCAAGCATGGGCGCGGAGCCCGCGCCCGATGCCTTCAGGGCCCCGGCCCACCAGGGCTGGGCCCGAGCAGCAGCCCTTGGGCCCGGATTTAGAAGTTTGAAAAAAGTCAGCCGGCCCCCTTGTGGGGCCACCAGGCTG